CTATCTATGGGAGAAAAGCAAGCCATTTTAAAGTTGAGAAAAGAGGGAAAATCAGAGCCATTGCACAAGCATTGGGCATAGCCAATACAACAGACAAACAGTCCACCCCAACAGGGGTGTGTGTGTGTATATATATTATACATACATACATATATATAATCCCCACACCCACCAGACACTTTAATAGGAACACCTGTAAAACTGCACATTCATTCAGTTATCTAATGAGCAAATCACTTGGCAGCAGCACAATGCAAAAAAATCAGGCAGGTCAAGAGCTTCAGGTAATGTTCACATTAAACATTTAAATGAAGAAAAAATATGATCTCTGTGACTTTGATCGTGGCGTGGTTGTTGGTGCCAGATGGGCTGATTTGAGTATTTCAGAAACTGCTGATGTGCTACTATTTTCACACACAACAATCTCAAGAGTGTCAGAATTTCAGAATTTTCAGAGTCACAGAATGGTGCGAAAAACAAAAAACGTTGAGTGAGCGACAGTTCTGTGGGTGGAAATGCCTTGTTGATAAGAGAGGTCAGAGGAAAATAGCCAGATTGGTTCGAGCTGCCATGAAGGATATAGTAACTCATATAATCACTCTTTACAACCATGGTGAGCAGAAAAGCATCTCAGCATGCACAAAACATAGAACATTGAGGTGGATGGGCTACAACAGCAGAAGACCACATTGAGTTCCACTCCTGTCAGTCAAGAACAGGAATCTGAGGCTATCATGGGCACAGACTCACCCAAACTGGACGTGCTGCATAGCAATTATTTATTTTGGATGAAACACTGCTGTGGTTTAGTGCAAAATGGGCTTAAGAGGTTCTCCAAACTGGAGGGTTAACACACTACACACTATTCCAGACTATGTACTATTAGGCTATAAAACGTTTTCTCACCAGCAGAGTTTATTAACTGACCAAGTATCTAAATTATACAACAATTTAAACAAATGAATTTAGGCACCGACAAAGAACGTTTCTTCACAAAGAGTAAAATTCATGCGTTTTGTGACTTTCTGTGTTGATCCTGTAAATACATCTTGCTGAGTGCAAAGACTGTATTTTTTTTTTTCTTTTTTTTTTTCTGATCTGAAGCTGTTTTTGGTCAAATATCAAAATGAGAATACTCATTAGTCACCCAATATAGTGACCTTCATGGACACTAAATAGAAATACAATTAGATCTGATATAAATAGATGGCTAAATTTGTCACCACAGTATGCAACCAAATAGAGCGAAGGATTTATACCAGAGTCGGTTAGCTACCTTTGCCTATGCTCACCAATACTGCTGATGATTTTATTTAACTAACTGTGAAAGTGATAGAAAAAGAGAGATCACAATTAAAATACAACTGATGGTACATTCGTAGTGTATCCCTGTCTTTTAAAGGTGAAGGTGGAAGTCATCCGTTCGGGATGATGGCTGCCCCACAGGCCGCCTCAGTGGCTCAGGTCGGCGTTTCCGTTGAACCCCTCGACCAGCTCGCTCAACAGACACCAGTTTCCAATGCAACCGTCTCCACCATGGATTCCTTCACACAGGTGACCAACAGAATCTTGAGTCGAATTTGTGTATTTGTGTTATTTGCTATGGTTAATCTAAGGCAGAATGTCTTGGCTTGATGTTAACCTTCTGTGTACTACTCTGGATAGTTCACCCAGAAGATGTTGGAGAGTCTGTACAACTTCACCTCCTCCTTCGCTCTGTCACAAGCTCAGATGACACCAAACCCCTCGGAAATGTATGTTCCAGCCAGCTCCATCCTTAAATGGTGAGTGTTTTTGTAAAACTGAGCATCACACCCAATTAAAAAAAACAGTTTTTATGTTTTTCTGACTGAAAGGTTTGTATTATGCACAGTTCTAAAAGAATTTAAGTTCAGGTCTCACTACAAAAGCTTAACCTCAATAATAGCTATGATTCACAGTTTTTGCTGTTCAGAGGTAACCTGTTGACTGTTGTCCCAAAAAACTGAGAATTTACTAATTACTAACTAATACGCAGAAGCAGTTTTATGCAAAAACCAAAGGGTCTTCTTTCCCTCCTCCCCATTAAACCGTCACATGAGGTAGTTGACATATAAGCCTGGAATGATTGACAGAAGTGTTTTGAAATCTCAAGTTATGTACTGACCCCCTATAAGCCCCACCCCCTTCTTCCCATCTTACATTAGTAATATTTTGGTTGGTGCTCGTGGGCATGGTCACTTAGTGGTTAGCACTGTTGCCTCGTTGGGGGTTCGAGTCCCGTCTCCACCCTGTGTGCACAGAGTTTGCATGTTCTCCCCCGTGCTTCGGAGGTTTCCTCCAGGTACTCCAGTTTCCTCCCCCAGTCCAAAGACATGCTGATTTGGCATTTCCAAATTGTCTGTAGGGTGTGAACGGATGTGCGAGTGTGTGTGTGTGAGTGATTGTGCCCTGCGATGGACTGGCACCCCGTCCAGGATGTCCCCAGCCTTGGGCCCCGGGTCCCCTGGGATAGACTCCAGGCTCCCCTGCGATAGACTCCAGGCTCCCCTGCAACCCTGTGTAGGATAAACGGTACAGAGAATGGACGGATGGATGGATAGTTGGTGCTCTCAGAAAAATCGAGTCGACACGAGGATATTTTGAGTTCAGTAATGTGAAATAAAATCTATCAATGTTTTTTTGACTTGGCTAACATTAGACAAGTTTATATGTAACATAACGTAACTTCAGCCAACGAAACAGAAAATGGAAGAAAAGTTTGTAGAGTAAATATATCTAGAATGTGTCAAATCTAACACGTACTAATTATTTTAATGGTAATGATGTGTTTAGTTTGAGCAGTGACATACTGCATTAGGTTTATGTTTACTTTTACTTTACTTGCTTTTACAAATACCACGACCAATGCAAAGCTGAGTTGGAATTTGCAGAGGTGTTAAACCAGTCTTGTGAAACCTTCATGAATGTTTTGCTGTTGCTGTGTCCTAGTACAAAACAGGCTTTTGTTTGAGTTTGTGGGTGTGTCATCTCCAGTTGTTCAGTGTGTAGATTGTTAAAAATCAGTAAGCTTGATTCAGTTTTTGTGTTCTTGTCCTCCCTGTCCAGGTATGAAAACTTCCAGAGACGAATGGTGCAGAATCCAAACTTCTGGAAGACATGACATGCTTTATTAACTAAGATCTTAATTAACACAGGAGCAGAAAATTGTGAATTCATATTATCATTTGGCTTGCCTTGGACGTAAGAATTTCATGCCAACATCAGTAAATCTCATGTATTTTATAGCTCTTATGGAACAGCAGACAAGTAAATACAGTATTACAGTACAGTTTTAATGCAGTGGACACTGGCTGGTTGTTTTGGGGTTTGCTAGCTGAGAATAAGTTACAGAATTTTCATATTGAATGATTGATATTTGTAATGTGGCTATAAAAATGCAGTCTTTCACATGTCTACCTTCTGTGTAATCTGGTGTTCTAGGTAAAAAAAAAAATTTTTTTTTTTTTAATTGCTTCATAAGCTGTGATAGAGCTTAGAAAAGAATCAGATGATGTCTTTAATTTTTGGGTGAAGAAGAAATTGGATAATAACAGCTTTTGTTTATCTGATTAATGACCTTTAATTGTGAAGTAACGAAAATGAATGAACAATTTTCTTTTCTTGAGTCAGTCTTTTTAATCATTTGTTAATGTAACCAACAAGATCTGCATAAGTTATGTCAGCAAAATGTGAGATAAAAAGAAAGAAAAAAAAAAAAAAAAACAATTTGTCCAAAAATAATTTGATAATTTTGGATGTTCTTACAGCATTTTATTGGCGAAGAGTTTCTTAAAGGAAGAGAAAAGCCCTTATACACTCACTGGCCACTTTATTAGGAACACCTGTACAGCTTCTTATAAATGTGATAATCTAATCAGCCAATCAAGTAGCAGCAGTGCAATGAATAAAATCGTGCAGGTTTTTATTCATTGCACTGCTTCAGAGACTCGCCCAAACTGGACAGTTGAAGATTGGAAGAACGTCACCTGGTCTTTCTTCTATCTTCAGTTGTCTCCTTTTGATGAGTCTGAGATTCGTGTTCGTTGCTGACAGAAGTGGAACCCGATGTGATCTGCTGTTGTAGCTCATCTGCCTTACGTTTTGATGTGTCATGTGTTCTGTGATGCTTACCATGGTTGTACAGAATAGTTATTTGAGCTACCATAGCCTTCCTGTCAGTATGACCCAGTCTGTCCATTCTCTTCTGACTTCTCTTATCAACAAGGAGGTGCTGTTTACTTTTTTTTTTTTTTTTTTTTGGCACCATTCTGTGCAAACTCTGGAGACTTGTATGCAAAATTCTCAAACCAGCCTGTCTGGCACCAGCAACCATGCCACAAGTAACTGAGATCACATTTTTCCCCATTCTGATGATTGATGTGTATATCATTTGGGATTAGGGTTAGATTCGTGTTTTGATTCTGTTTGTTTCTGAGTTGCTAAATGTTCTCAGAGTAATAATGCTGGAAATTTCCCAAATTTAAGACGGGCAAAACAGTTTAAAAAAAAAAAAAATTAGGCAACTGGTACCCTGAGAAATCTTTTTCCTCCACCACCGGCTGCTTATGTACCTTTTTCCCAGACCATCATGATGGAGGAAAGCTGAGTGCGGAGGAGGTGAAGCAGATACTGAAGATGAGTGAATGCTTTGTGACAGTGTCTATTGGGAATTGATTGAACTGAACTAGAAAGGGCTGCCTGTTGCAAAACTGCATGTGTGCTGACTGCAGTGTGTCAACCAAAGCTATTTAAGTACTATTTGTACTTAAATAAAAAAAATTAAAAATAAAAAAGGACTTTTGACCCTGAGCCTACTCATGCAGAAGAAGTTTGTGGTTTATGGTCCACAAACCATGCAAGTTTTGAAACAAATGGAGTCTCTGCTGCTCAATAAAAATCACTGTTGTAATATTCAGGGAAACTCCATGTGCTGATTATTAGACTGTAAATATATTTGTCAGTTCTCGCCTGCGTGTAGGGGCAGTGGTGGTCTAGTGGTTAAGACGCTGGGCTTCTGAGCAGAAGGTTGTGGGTTCAAACCCCAGCACTGCCAAGCTGCCAGAGTTAGGCTCCTGAGCAAGGCTTTCAAACCTGACCCTGCACTCAGACCCCAACTACCCGACATGTTGGGGAAAGAAATGTCACTGTACTGTGAAGTATATGTGACAAATAAAGGCTTTTTCTATTGTCTAAAGTCACAATGCGGGAGGTTCTGGGCGCATCAGTGTATTGCGTCATCTCCCCATGGCAACGCGCTCAGCTCACTAAGATTCCTGAGCACTGCAGCAGAGCTCGCGCGGAGCAAATACGGATTTTCTTTAAATAATAAATTGTACTGCTGTTTTAATTTTGGAGGCACTTTTAACGCCATGACTGACGGCTTGCTTGGCGTGGTGTCGGAGGCAGAACGCAACAGCTTTCCAACTCTGTCTCAGCTGAGCGAGAACGGTAATGTCCTCTCAGCAGGAAACACTCAAGCAAGTTAACAGTAGAGGTAGTTGGGTTTGTTATTATAGTCTGTTATTACAAGCCTAAATTACTCCTTTAGCTGGAAGTTCAGCAGCTGAAAATCTCCTGGAGGCAAATGAATATCCAAGGAAATAACCAAAGTATCCATTTAGTACCTATAGGAGTAATATAAACATTCAGAGTGACTTTACATACAACTCATATTTCAGTTAGTATTAGTCAAGTCATTGATATCTATAAATATCCTTGTCTCAAAAGATTCAATAAGTAAATAGGTTAACTGATACTTGCCTTAAATAAACCAAAATCACAGGTCATGAACTCACTAAAGTAAATAGTGTGTTAGAAGTGTTAGATATTGGGAGTATAATTTAATCATAAGAGCCGCCTTGATGAAAAGACCATCATCACCAGCTGATATGTTCTTTTCCAGCTGCTTTATTACTTGAGTAAATTGATTAATAATGGTGTGAGAGTCTCTTACCTTACTTTTGTGTTGTTTTCTTGAAAAATATCTCTACAATGTTGCATCAGTAGTAGCTGTAATTCAGCAAATGTTTCCTTGGAACAATGGTCTACCAGTTTGAGCAGCTCGAGGTGTGTTTTGGTGGCTGATAGATGGTCAGAACAAGCTGGGTTTTTCAGTAGGGCATCTATCTTTTCTAAGAAAAGTAGAGTAAAAGTTACGAACCAAGGAATACATAATTAAGGTGGGTGCAAATACTTTGAATGGGTCCTTATGAGATCTTTAAGTACATGGTGAAGCATTTCCATTCCTCTCCAGCCCTATATGGTTATTAAAATGTGATTTAATGGCTATTTATTGGGAATAAGAAAAATGAACACGAGAATATACAGTGGATTTAGTGATGTAAAAAAAAACAAAAAACAAAACCAAGATCAATCATGTCAGATCATCTTCCACCTTTAATGTAACCAACCAACAAAATAAAAATTTTTTTTAAAAAAAAACCAACAAATAGAAACAGTTTGGCGGAGAAAAATAAAAAAAACATACAATAACTTGGTTGCATAAGTGTACACACCCTTTTATAATGGGACGTGTGACTGTTCTGAGAACGAACCAGTCACATTCAAACTCATGTTCAAAAGTAATTATCATACACCTGACATCAGTGAAGTGATTCTGTTTAACCCCAAATAAAGATCAGTTGTTTCTGTGGGATTTTCTTGACATCTTCTCGGTTTCATCTTACTGCCGAAGCCATGGTCCTCAAAGAGCTTTACAAACCATGTGCGGGATCTCACTGTCAAAAAGTATCGATCAGGAGAGGAGTACAAAATAACTTTTAAAACGTTAGATGTACCACGGAACACCATCAACAAGTGGAGAAATGGGGCACCACAGTGACATTCCCAAGAAAAGGACATTTCTCCAAAAGGACAATAAGTAAACCTATTTGTTGGATGCTGTATCACATTAAAGGTGGAAAAAGCCATCATCTGCCATCATTTACAGTCAGGTCCATAAATATTGGGACAGTGACACAGTTTTGGTAATTTTACCTCTGTACACCACCACAGCGGATTTGAAATGAAGCAGTCAAGATGTGACTGAAGCGTAGACTTTCAGCTTTAATTCAAGGGGTTTAACAAAAATATTGCATTAACCGTTTAGGAATTACAGTCATTTTTTACAGAGTTCCTCCATTTTCACAGGCTCAAAAGTAATGGGACAAACTAATATAATCATAAATATTAGGATTATTTTTATTACTTGGAGG